GTATACGAATTTATTACTTATGTTAATAATATAAACTAATTATTTATATTTCAACCTATTTTTAGATTATTTCCCCCCCCCCCCCTTCTTTCTAGTATTTTGGCTGATTTGGTAGGGTCGGGAGGGGGCGATGGCATCAATCCGCCCCCCCCTCATAAACTTTCGAGTGGGGGGGGGGGGTCCTATTTATTTGTAGAAATCACAGCTTGCTAACTGAATCAATTAAATATCTATATGATTAAAACTTGTCATTGGTATTTTAACCGGTCTTTATATCATGTCGTTCACCTGTTGGCCGATTTGGGGGAGGGGGGCGGTCCTACTTTTATGGAGAAATCATAATATGTGAACAAAATTAGTCGAATATCTATATAATATAAACAGGTGGAAGTGCGATACATGCAATCACCTTCCCCCATCGGACTAACCAATACTTTTTACTTTTTGTATTATAGTAGAAATTACAAAATTTAAAAAATCTGTCACTAATATAATTTATATATGCTATAAAGTAAATTCCAACCCCTATTCTTTAATGCAAAATGCAATCATTAGCAGAAATTATAAAAAAGGAGCGAGGATTAATCGTTTTCCTTTTACCGCCATTCCCCTTTCCAGACAGAGTTTGTATGATTTCACATGAATTTATCATAACTATTTTAAGAAAGACTTTGCTTTGGAAAAGTTGTAATTCAAACGAAATTTTTCAATATAAGTCACGGTTGAGATGAGTTCAAAAGCCAGATAATCTTTTCCTAGTCGACTTTTTCCAACCTTTACATCTCATATTTTTCTAGTTAAATAAATTTAGGACTAGAACTCACAATTTATGCTTGAATTTTATTGAATATTATTAATCGAATTATTTTTATTCGGCGGCGATCCTCAAAGCCTAAATCTAAATATGTGGGGTATCTTATCTTTTCAAAGAACATATCGGTTGTATTTGCAATGTATTAAGGGACTATAAATTCATATTAGAATATTTTTCCACATTATCCAAAAGGTCCTTTATAATAGAATCAATAATGAGCTGTAGGTCAGGAGAATGCGTTTCTGCATTGAAGAATGCAAGACAACGCTTTTGGAGTCGGGTTTCGACCCGAACCCCACTAATAAATAATGAGCTGTAGATGTCAGGAGAATGCGTTTCAGCCGTGAAAAATGCAAGAAAACGCTTTTGGCGTCGAAGCTTTGCCCCGAACCCCACTAATAAGTAATGAGCTGTAGATGTCAGGACGATGCGTTTCAGCCGTGAAAAATGCAAGAAACGCTTTTGGGTGTCGGGGCTTCGCCGAACATTGAGAAACAGTCTTATTGTATTGTATATATATATATATATATATATATATATATATATATATATGCTGTACGCGCGTTTATGCAAAGGGTTTGAGTTTACTGGGCGTTAGGGTTAGGGTTTGGAAAAAAATCGCCCCCCCCCTACTCCAAAGTTCTGGATCCGCCAGTGGTCATAAGACAGACAGTCGTAGATAATAAAAGTGGGATACAATGGACCCTAACACAACATTTAGATTACCTGTATTTTGCCGATGACATCTGCCTCCTCTCCCGTACACAACAAAATGCCCAGACCAAATTGACAGACTCTCAAAAATAGCGGAAAAGACTGGACTTCTAATCAACAAAAAGAAGTTATGAGGATCAGCAAACAGACAAGAGAACCCAATCATGATACAGGGGGAGAGCATCCTTGATACGGGCTACTTAATTTATCTGGTACGTAGAGTTAGTAAAGAGGCGGAGCTGATGATGATTCGGATCATTAAAGCTAGGTCTGCCTTTTCAACTCTTCAAACTATCTGGCGCTCCAAGGCACTATCTCTACACAACAAGATACGAATCTATAATACAAACGTAAAGTCGGTCCTTCTATACGGTTCATAAACATGAAGAGTCACTAAGATAACTATGGAAAGGCTACAGACCTTTGTTAACGATGCCTACGCCGGATATTAGGGATTAAATGGTCAGAAAAAAAAAGACTTCTGTCAATTTCTAGGAGAGAACTAGACAAAAGCCCATAGCCCAAGACATCACAAAGCGAAAGTGGAGTTGGATAGGACACACCCTGCGAAAACCAGCTACCAATGTTGCAAGGTATGCAATTGATTGGAATCCCCATAGAAAGAGAAAAGTGGGCAGACCAAAGCAAACCTGAAAGATGTCAATCAGTGAAGTTGAGGATACTGGACTGACATGGGAGCATATGAAGAAAGCTGCTCAGAACCGAGTTCGGTGGAGAGGTGTGGTTAAGGCCCTATGCTGCCCTCGGAGTACACAGGATTAAGTCAAGTAAGTCAACCGTCAGTTGACTCAGAATTAGATAGATAGATAGATAGATAGATAAATAGATAGAGGGAAAGAGAGATAGATAGATAGATAGATAGATAGATAGATAGATAGATAGATAGATAGATAGATAGATTAGATAGATAGATAGATAGATAGATAGATAGATGATAGATAGATAGATAGATAGATAGATAGATAGATAGATAGATAGATAGATAGATAGATAGATAGATAGATAGAGGGATAGAGGGATAGATAGATAGATAGATAGATAGATAGATAGATAGATAGATAGATAGATGGACGGATGGATAGATAGATAGATAGATAGATAGATAGATAGATAGATAGATAGATAGATAGATAGATGGATGGATAGATAGATAGATAGATAGATAAATAGATAGATAGATAGGGAAGCGTGAACGATGGGCTTAGCACGCTTGAACTTGGCTTGGCTATCTATGAGATTGGGCATGCTATGAGCATGAAACTACTGCTATATAAAAGCTATAATTTTTATTTTACGCGACCACCACTGCCTACAGTGAGACAGGAACAAGTGTCTTTAAGCTTAACTATGTCTACCCCATTGATCGTAAGGTCTGAACTGAAAAGGGTTGCCTTTAATTTTACTTTACTAAAAGTAAAATCCCACGAATGTAGTTTTGATAGAATACTTTTTCGATTTGTTTTGTTCTGTTAGAACCACGCTTGTTCAAGCATCAACAAATGTAGACCACCAGTGACTTGCACGTCACAGGATAGATTTTCCAAACGAAAAGAGAAATGCTTCCTCTCCACGCTTCCTAGAAAAGTGACTCGCTCGTTTCTAATGCCCTTGACCTATATTACATTTATAGTTTCACTAGCTTTAATTTACCCGGCTTTGCTGGGCTTTTTCTTTCTACAAATAGCATGCATTTAATCCGTTTAAATATTCAATAATGACGTGAACAAAAAGATGATAATTTAAAAAAAAAAAAAAATTCATCTAGTATTTTATAATCAAAGCGAACGCGTCAATGTAATTGTTTATATAAAATTATTAGTTTAATTTTATGCAGCTCTAGATTTAGAATCTAAACAATTTGAATGCCACAGTAGTCTAGTCAATAAATATAAAAAAATTGAGCCTATCATAATAAAAGACTATGGACACTTTGATATGAGCTTGTGTCAACCTAGGTGTAATGTGTTGACCTAGATACATTAGCCGTGTTTCATTCATTATTTTGTAGCTAAGTTGCTAAGAGGTCTAATTGCGCATTAGTAAATCTTAAAGAAAAAAGTAAATTGAAAAAAAAAAAAAGACTTAAAATTAAACCGATACATTAGCCGTGTTTCATTCATTATTTTGTAGCTTAGTTGCTAAGAGGTCTAATTGCGCATTAGTAAATCTTAAAGCTATTAACATTTAGAGCGAACGATTTTATGTAAAAAAAAAATGTTTTGTAAACTCAAATTTGAAGTTTAATGTGCATCAAATAATGAAATGAAAAGACACGTATTTAAATGTTCTTGTGTAAAATAACTAAATTATTAATATGTTTTCTTGAATGAGAGCTAATTTAGGTCTAGATATTTTTATCTCTGCGCATGCGTGACCTCTCGGTCATCATTTAGACACAGCATGTAAGCATGGCCTAGATTTATAAGATACAATACTTGTATAGAGTTGGGCAATTTTTTCTGAGGGTCTTAAGTTTGTTTTAGGGCTACAATACATACACTACGGTCTAAGTTAGTACCCAAGTTTTATCACGATTGGTCAAACGGTTTTGATTTCCATACTGGGACATACATACATACATTCATAGATAGCCTACATACGCCTTACTTTCAACTTTATAGTATAGATTCTTACATACTTTCTCAAGTTTCTAAATGAATTCACTACTAAAAGCTTTAGTCTGGTTAAATGTTTATAACGAATTCTCTCGCTGAATTTTAGATAATTTTGTAAAAGAATCATCATGAAAGAAAAGAAAATCTAGCCACGTACTGAGGCATTTTAACATAGGTCTACAAAAAACGAAATGATTGAATTTGCACATGGGACATAGTATCACAGTAGTTTGTATGAAGTGTTACAGTATGAGGCCATTCCAATCATAGTTTGTATGAAGTGTTATAGTATGGTTCCATTCCAATCATAGTGGTTAGTATGCAGTGTTGCAGTATGATTCCATTCCAATCATAGTGGTTAGTATGCAGTGTTGCAGTATGATTCCATTCCAATCATAGTGATTAGTATGCAGTGTTGCAGTATGATTCCACTCCAATCATAGTTTGTATGCAGTGTTGCAGTATGATTCCTTTCCAATCATAGTGGTTAGTATGCAGTGTTGCAGTATGATTCCATTCCAATCATAGTGATTAGTATGCAGTGTTGCAGTATGATTCCACTCCAATCATAGTTTGTATGCAGTGTTGCAGTATGATTCCTTTCCAATCATAGTGGTTAGTATGCAGTGTTGCAGTATGATTCCATTCCAATCATAGTAATTTGTATGAAGTGAAATATTATGATTCAATTCCTATCCCAGCAGTTTGCATGAAGTGTTAAAGAGTGATTTATTTAAAGTATCTGTATATAAATATGATGAATGTATTTTGTTTTCTTAAGATTTGTTTCTGTTTTGCTTTGTTGGAAATAAAACAAGCAAAAAATCAACATCAAAATATTTTCAACAAGTTTTTATTTTATCAAAATTTGCATGAAAGAGCAATAAATGAAGCACCCATTGGAAAAAAAATGGCTTAAAGACATCACCATATCATGAATTTAAAAAAACATTTTCAACATTTTGAAATATCACTGAAATCAAAATGACATATAATTTTAACAACAAGTGTTACAAAATGAACAACTGTATCTGTAATTAATATATATGTTCTTAGTGGCAGAGACTAGTTGAGTGACAAGCAAATACAAATATCGGAGAGACGAAATGATATGTTTTGTTCTGACAAATATATTTGGACTTGGTCTTTAATCATGCTGCTATGTATACTGTTTTTACTAGATTAACTCTTAGGAACACTTGTTAAACACTGTCCACACTAATGTCTATAAAGAACACGCTGTTCCAACATTTGTTTATAAGTTTCTAGATTAAAAACCCATTTAAATATATCTGTCTCTAGATTTTAGTTACCCAAATGAGGGCCTATCGCCATCTGAATTAGACTTTTGTAGTATACTGATATGCCATTGTAAATTACAATATAAAACAAATTGGAATACATTTTTTCGGAATGCGAATTGAAGCGATAATACATTTCGCAAATAATAGGTATGTAAATACTAGAAATAAACTGTAAAATATATACATATATATACATCATTGAATGGCAAGTTTAAAAACTGTACATGAAATATTCAGAAATAAAAAATATGCACTGTATATTTAACATCAGTAAGGCAAACAATGCTTTTTGGTAAAACATCCAGGGGCAGTGATGCTGCAGTATTTTTAAAAAATAGTAATTTGAATGTTGAATAAACTACAGAAAAATCTATATCAAGGAATGGCACAATATCATACATAATAAAATCATCAGTTTTAAAAAATGAATTTCTGAGAGAAGAAACATCAAGTCATAAATAAATAAAGTTCATAAATAATTCAAGTTCATAATCAATTAAAATTTATTAATAATTACATTTTTTAAATAATTTAAATTCATTAATAATTATATTTCATAAATAGTTCAAATTCAGTAGTAATAAAAATTCATAAATAAATACAGTTCAAATATAATTAAAATCCCTTAATAATTACAGCTCATAAATAATTTAAATAATTAAACAAATGTATTATAAATTATACATTCAAAACACAAAGGACTAAAACACAATAAATCACATATTATCCTGATTGGTCATAGAAATACACAAAGTTGGGGAAAAAAAGTATACATGAAAAAAATATATTTTAAGCTTACTTTAGGTAAAGAAGAACATACTTTGACATTTGTGGTTAAAAAATGCAATAAAATGAATACTATCTGCCAGTTTCTATTATAATCGTGGTACACGTTTATTGTATGGAAATCATTTTAAAATAGGGTATTTTTAGTGTGTGTGTGAGAGAGAGGGATGTAACACTATATGATTATATGTTTACTAAATAACAAGATAAACTTTGATCTTTCATTCTCCTGAGATTCTTGGTCAAACAACCAATGAAAAGACTTCATATTTAAATCAGATCTAGTAGTACAGATACTATTTACATATATTTTTTTAAAGAAAAGCATCGTTTGAGAGGTTTGTAATGAAATAATAATTAAACATAAAAAAAAATAAATATGGCATATCTCTACATGTGTGGTCTTGTGTGTGTGTGTTTTATGTTGTATGCATATGTGTAGTTAATGTATGCCTTGGTGTGTTGGTATGAAATGGTGTGCTACTTCTTTGGTACTTATACCTCACATGTGCATTCTTCAGTCTTTAGTTTCAGTTCGGGATTGAGACAGGGGTTACATAACGACTTGTAATACTTGATTGCACTAGGAAGACTTTGAACAAATTATTTAACATATAGTCAAGGCACAATAGACTTCAACCAAACTTTCTCCAAATAGTCCATTTGTTTTGCTGCCATGTTTTTCGCGCTATTTTTACTGTTTATTCTTTAATGGCTTTTTGTTTGTTTGTTTTTTTTTAATGGATTTTTTCTTATTTTTTATTTTTCCATCGCTTTTTTTTGCAGTAGGATGTTTTTGTGTGGATTGTTTTTTGTGTTTCTTGATGTAGTTTTCCAAGTCCTTTCTCGCAATCGGCAGATATTTGTGCAAATTTTCTAGAACCATGTACAAATTATCTTTATTATTTGTTAAGGGTAGTTCATTGATGAATTCACTTTTATCTAGATTAACCAATGCAGTCCGATTTAGCTGATGGACTTTGCACATCATAAGCGATAGAGTATTTAAGTCTTCCGTTACATTGTAGTTTTTAGTTGCATTTGCGCTTTTCTTCAAAGCTACTGTGTACGACACAAGTCTGAACAAGACACACAATCTTGTCTGGTTAGTGTCCTGTAAAGCAGAAAAACAGGCTTATAACAAAACAAAAAAATGAATAATAGAAACTGATAACAATTTCACAATGATGATACTTTGTAAAGCTAAATTAGTTATATATAAAAAGAGAATATGTGGGAGCAAGAACTTCCAAAAAAAGAGACATCTGAAGATCTCTTACAAAGTCTGAGATCTACAATTGGGTTAGGCCCACAAAGGATAAACGGCAAAGACTGATACTGACCGCAAATAGAACTTACATCGGTCCCCGGCAGACTTTGGTTTAATCTGCGTCGTTTGTGGCGAAATTAGTAGGTCACATCCACGCGAAATGCTGAATGCCTACTTAATAACCTATCAGACATTTTGTAAGGGAGGTGATGCTCGTCTGTCTTGAGGGCCAAAAGATTCATGTTTCAAGCAATCTTCTTGATTTTTTTTTAACTAAGGGACGAGGTAAACTTTTTAAAATCACAGATTTGAGCGTGTGAACCCTAGGTTCGGAAGTCAAGGGAAAACCATTCAGTCTTCGTCACATATATAACTTATACAGAGAGAGAGAATAGATAGATAAAGAGAGAGAGAGACAAACAGACAGAGATAGAGAGGTCGACTTAGGCTAATTAGCGGCTGGAATAAAAGCGATAACTTCTAATGAAAAGAAAAAGTTCAATGTAAACTTACACTTTTAAACCTTGAACAGTTGTTTTTTACTTTGATGTTCTTTCCTTTAGATTTCAAACCTTTCAACTGATTTTAAAAACAAATATATTTTGAGATGTGTATTTATGTTCACTAACATGGAAATATGTCGTAATCATCATGAAAAAAAATGATTAATGTATTATCTTAGATTCACGATATTCAATATTAGGCTTTGGTGGTCATTTTGTTAGGGCATAATGTCAATATTCACTACAGTATTAAGTAACTACAATAACAAAAGTACCTCAAAGTATAACAATGTTAAAAATCATGTCACGGTGATGCTCTACAAAATTATTGACAGATTCTTCTACAGCAGTGTTTGCCAAACTTTTGATGTATGTGTACCCCTTTTATAATGTTTGTAATGCTGAGAACCCCTCGCCCCCCTCCACCACACTTTAATTGATTAACAGAACATAATAAATGGGTAGTTAAAAATTCAGCATAGCTAATGAGGTGCAACGCGTACCCCCTACAAAGTCTTCCCGTACCCGACTATTCTACAGTTTGCTCTTTCTGATGCTGGTCTAGCAGTAGGCTACTCATTGTTTGCTGTCATCGACATTTATTTGTACTTGATCTTAAAGGCAAATCGATGACAGAAATGTAAGTGCTTGGTATGCAATTTGTGCTTACCTTTTGGATCGAATTATTTAGTGATTTCTGTAACGTTTTCATATAGAAGTCTAGTTTTGCGACAATCTTCGTGATATTCTTTTCGTCCGAGTTAGAAGTTCCAGCGGTTTCTTGGTCTGCTTGAGATGGCTGCTCACCAACATTGATATTCTCACCTTGGTGTCCACACAATCCCTGGACAATCTTCAGGTGGCTGTCATATTTTTGGCTACTATTTTTTGTAGGTCTCGCTGTAACAGCTGAAATTTAAAATGTTTCAAATGAAATGACATATTTTTAATGAGGCTAATTACTACAATATAGTCTTAACTGAATAACTAACTACTTTATTGGAAGCATTTGAGTGGCCACTAGTTTTAAAAGAATGAAAAAAAAAACATATTAAAGTAGTCGCCTTTAAGTAGTAATAACATTTTTATAATAAATGGTCTAATAATAACAAACTGGTCTTAAAAGTGATAGCTTTTAAATCACCAAATCATTACGGCAATACCCATAGCGGAAAACGGGAAAAATTGATTGGACACCCTTTAAATGATAGCAGACTCCTCATTGTTAAGTCCCTGCTTGACAAAATAGCGGTGCACACACAAAAAAAGGTTACCTAGATATTACCCCCACCCCCTTTCTATTTTTCTCATCTTGAAAAACAAACTATGAAGAAGAAATAATGTCTGTATTTCTATTGGGTGGTACTCCGCGACTATATGTGTTGTTAGGGTCGATGTCTGGATCGAGTGTCTGGAGATAGTTTCAATTCAATAGCAGACTACTTTGCTCGACGTCTCTAATACATTGTGTGTGAAGATTTATACAACATGAAAAGTATAGATTAAATTTGTTTTAAAAGTGATTGCACTGATGTTGACTATACAGACGTGTACCTAGTGACAGAGCCAGTAGCAGTACCGAGTGTGCTATAATCTTCATTGTTATGTTTCAATAATATTTGGCAAATTAAATATCTCTGTGACTAGATTGTCGTCTTCGATATTAAGTTTGATTGATTTCTAGTCTATCTCTTACCTGTTATATATACCTTGTTGTATATCAAGTTTAGAAAAAAAAAATTAACTTAAAGAAAGTGCTCTCGATTTCAGTGCAGCCACTGTTGGTGTCGGTATGGACCTATTTTTAGTTTAGGTACTTTCCGTGCTGTCAGCGTATGGGTAGCAAAACAAAATGTGTGTGTTTTAAGTAGTAATCACTTAGAAGTGTGTTATTGGTGCTGGCGGGTTTGCGGCGATTACCGTGGCAGTAAATAGATCTTGAAAGTATGTGTTATGAGATGGGGGGAGGGGGAGGGTGATGGTGCAGAAACTAACAAGCGTAATGAGACGGAAGTTTATTAGTTAACGGAGACCTGCAAAGTATGTGAAAAAAATCAAATCAAAAGTAAATTCAAAAGATTAAGTCAAGAGCACGGGCTGAATGACATGTTATAATGTCGTTTCTTTCTGCTGTGCATTGATGAAACTATTCATACAGGCATAGACTTTACAGCTAGACTCAAGAGACGATGCGCACAATTTTTCTAAGCATTACTTTTTTTATACTCTTGAATCAATAATTCCTCACATATCGAACGCGATAGTCCTTTCAAAACCAATGTTGGCTCTAGATCTAGGTGTTGTTGTTAAGCCAAATTTATTTTTTATTTATTTTTTACTTTGAAAAATTATAACTGTCAAACTAGAGTTTTTCCCCATGTGGTCAACGAGCTAGTAATTCTTTTCTCAGCGATATACAGCAAGTGTTAAAAATTTCGAGGAAAATCTTTAGAGCCCTTTTTAGATCAGCTGTCCATGCAGGCTCCTGGCTGGTTCCAGGTTCCATGAAGTTCTGACTTGAATTGAGGTATTGAAAAAGGTCGCTAAGTGTTGGGTTTTTGAACCGAGAAGTTTTCTATTCGAAACCCAGTGAAGAATGAGTTTTTGAGCTTAGAGACTCTTAAAACGCCCCAGAGTCCACCCAACACTCATTGGTACCTGAAATTCGTTCGGAAAAGCAAAGGCAGTTGGTTGTTGTGCTGGACACATGACAGCCATGTTAACCATTGACCATATGATAAAATGAGAAGAAAATCTGATTCCAAACCGCTGCTGCCTTGCGGCTAAACCCAAAATTTGGAAAATCTTCAGTAGTCAAACCTAACGAAAAATCAGGAACCAATGACCCTTAAGCAGCTTGCAGCACACAGTAGAGCTGATCCCAAGCCATATCATTCGGACACATAGGCAGCGTAAAGAGGATGGAAATGCTGTGCTAGCGACATCGTTTCGACCGTAACTAATGCCCCCAAGCTCATTTCGATAAGATGAATGGATGGTCACTTTGGGACTGAAGGAGGACATAGAAGACGAGATGACAATTACGTCATCTGTTAGTCGCCA